ATTTGTTGCTGTTCGTTGATCTCCTTGGTTTGTTGGCAGTAGTGCTGGTTGTGCTGGTATCGGTACTCCGTTGATGTTTGTGATACCCTTAGCTGTCGTCTGGTGTCCACTGAACACGTTGGTGGGGGGATGATTGGTTGAATTCTGATTTCCAATTGTCAAGATGGGTCTAAAGGCGCTATTCGGATTATGTGTCCTCTGTTGCTGACTTGGAGGCTGATTCTGTTGTAGGCTTGAAGGCTGGTTCTGTTGTTGGCTTGAAGGCTGGTATAGTCCATGTGGGGGGCTAGCTGTCTGGGGAGCAAGAAATGGGTGTGTGATTTGCTGTCCAATCATTTGACTCTGAGCTGCTTTTGAAGTTGCTGTCGGAAGAAATATTGGCGCTGAAACATTTCTTTGTTGGGTTGCTGGTGCGTTCATCTGCTGATTGAAAACTTGGATTTGAGTTCCAGGGTTGGAGTGTGGTGACGTTTCATGAAGTTGAGCTTCTGAGTTCGGTCTTTGTCCCACTGTTGCTGTCAATTGCTGATTGTCGATTTGGAGTTGAGTTCCATTGTTCAATTCTATAGTCGTTCCTTGAAGTTGAGCTTCTGGGTGGTTCGGCTGAAGGTTTGAACTTTGTGACAAGTCGGCGTTCGACTGCTGCAATGAGAGGTTTGACTGAAGATGGAGGTGAGTTCCATGGGCAGTTTGAGTTCCAAGAGTTTCTGTTTTTTGTTGATGAATGCGATGATCCAAGGTATTGGCGTCGCTGTTAGATCCGGGGCGAAGTAGGAGTCCTGAATTGTCCTGGGCGGAATTTGATCTGTGGTTTGAAGTAGCGTTTAAGCTTGCTGGCAATCCTGAAAATTGTGGCAAATCGTCCGGGGTGTCCTGGTCTATGGTGACGTTTTGTGTAGTGGTACTACGGGTTAAACTTTCCGTTTGGCGTCGAAGGGGAAGATTTTTCAAGGCTTGTCGTATTATTGAAGGCGTCGAGACGTTGCTGGCTACTCGTGATGAGTTTAAAGAAGACGTGGCAGTGTTGTTGAGGGTACGCTCGTATCGTTTTGATCGTAGTTGGATCGTTCGGTACAAAACTTTCAAAGTTTTCAATCGTTCAATGATTGAGTCTTGCTGGTCCGTTCCGGTGTGTATTATCTTGACTGCTTCGTTATTGGCATCGTCAAGCAAGCTCTTCAATTCCGTTAAGAAATCGTTTATGATCTGTACTTCGTCGGAATCGCTTATGGCTTGGTTAATTGCTTTTGCTAAAATTTCTACGTCTGTTTCTATGACTTTAAAAACAGCATCATAGGTTGAATTCATTTTTAATTGACTTTGTCTCCTAAACTTAATTCACTTTTTGACGTGTCAGACAAAAATGTAAATGGCCAATATGTAATTCCTTTGATTACATGGATATGAACAAACTATTCCGTCGTCTGCAGGGTCGCCTGCATGGATTACAGGATATGAACAAACTATTCATGTCGTAGACAAAGTTTAAATAAAACGAGCGTGATTTCACACTCGATCACTCTGAATTATCGAGTGTGAAATCATTCTTCTCTGAAGTATCCAGAATCGCACGGAAAACCCATCAAAATCTTTGCCTTCTCAAACTTTCAATTGTGGTTGGAACAACAATAGTGTTGAAACAACACAAATTGTTTTTCAAACCGTCAAATTGTGAGTGTCTTGCAACTCAGATTTACGCTTGCGATTAGCAATTGTTACCATATTGGACAGTATTCCATGTGAACAATAGAATCGCTGAATCATTTCGAATGTTTGCTTGATTATAAATTAAAAATCCACTTCTTTGGTAGACTTAACTTTGTGGTAACGTCTAGGCCCGGGAAAACAAATTTCCTCCGTTATTTCCTCCGTTCGAATCCTGCCAGGACCTGTTTTTTTGGCAAACCTTCCGTTCAAATTAAAATTATTCGCCTATCGTTGGTAACAATCTAACGATTCCATATACAAAGTATCGAAAACAACTCGACTTTCATCTCGCATAGAGAAACTTCGTTGGCGTCAGTTCGGCCATATTCTTCTTGAGCCTGACACTTCACTGCCGAGAATTTCCCTGTACTTTGCTGTCGTTAGTAGAAAGCAATTTCCAGGGAAAAAAGGGCGGCATCAAAATAATTAACTAGAACTTCTCAAGCATGGTTTGTCCAGACGACAAATTAAACTTGAAACTGAAGCAGATATTCAACTGGTCACGCGTCTGATCGCAAATTTTGGAACTGGTTTAATGATTTGGGTCGACTGACCAGAACTTTACGTGGTCATGCCGCGTTTAGTTTTGTTAACAGTAATTGTTGATGATGTTCGTTTGTCTGTTTTGTCGGTTTAGTTGCCACAGCGCCGATTTCTCTGACAGTTTAAGAAAATTTCACTATCGTTTAGTCATTTGGTTTTTTCGTCTAAGTTGATAAAGTAACCAACTTCTGACAATTTTTGCGCAGAAAACTTTTTCTCGCTGAAATTTAATAGCTGGGGTTTGATTCCTGAGGTTTTTCATTTCCACTTCAAATTCATTTTTTTGCTAAACTTAAGGCAAATTGCTCACACCGAGAATAAGTTAGTAATTATCGGTAAAAACGTGAACGAGTTGTGGTTTTAAAGGTGGATTTTAACTGTTATACTTGCGAGAGCATGTCTCTATAATCGGGATCAAGACTTTTTTTCGCAAACAACTTTTCTTTGCCTTTGCAATAATACAAATTTTCTACTTGCTTTGTTACTTTCAGGTTCTTTCCCACTTGGCTCAGAGGTAACGCCGTCACTTTTGCACACTAAGGCTCTGACTCCCGACCGGACTTGTAAAAAATTTGATAGATACCGACATCCACGCCATCAGCATAGGTTTCGCCTACACTCTGCTCTAGTTTCTCTGCGTTTTTGCAATCATCGCCATATCCGAACTGATTTACTCTTGTTGTTTCCGTGTTGCCGCACGTTAAGTCTGACAAAGCTTGCCAAAATTATCAGTGAAACAGAGTTGATTGATTGTCCATTAGCTTAACTCTTTCAAAAAGGTTATGAGTTGGATGCGGATTTCATGCGCTAGGGGCGCTCCGTCACTCGCCATGTAACAAAGCTGATAGCTTTGATACCTTTGTTCAAAACGCCATTTCAAAAATTAATTTTATTTTATATTCAGCTGGTAACCGGTCTTGATGTTTCTTCACAAAGTTAGTGATCCTATTAACGTGTAAAATATCAACAAGAATAGCCGGTTATTGTTCAAACAGAACAGAATGTTTCGTCCTTATAGTCTTGAAAAATACAAATAAGTTCATTTTTTCAAATTAAACTCATTTGTTTCTGCGTGGTCTGATAAAAAGATCTGAATGAATAATAAAACTTAGGTATTTGCGACAGTCATAGTAAAATAGGTCAATCGGAAACAGTGTTTGTCAAAAAATGACTAGAAAAGCGAAACAAAAATTAAATTCGAAAAAAAATCAATAAGTTCTTGGTTCCCAATTTCTAAAAACTAACTTGACTCGAGTTAACCTAGTTGCTGACGGCTTGAGTTAAGCATAAATAAGCTATTGCAATCTAAACGCTCACCTTATTAGCTCGACATTAGATCAAAAATTAAACATTTCAAACCGGTTTTTCCAGTCTGAATTTTCTTAAACTCTTTTTCAAGGTGGTTCGAATCACGACTCAAGTGTTTTTAATATGATATATCCCTTGAGCCCAGTTAGATGATTATTTGTGATACCTGAGGTTGCATGGAAAACAAAGAATAACACACTAATACCAAGTTTTTTCTTAAATGATTGGAAGAAAAAGTTGAGAATAGTTCATAGTTCAGCAATGGAATGTCACTGGCCTTGTTTTGTTTCATTATGTAGGCAATTGAATTTTTTGTTCGACTGAAATTGAATGGTCGGACTATCATTTGTCTACTCGAGTTTTTTCGGCCTAGTTGCGACATCACAGTTTTTGCTTGTACTGTTAGCAAGTTTCGTTCTTGTTGCAAGTGCAAGTGTGTTCATTTTAGTTTCAAGAGGGACTTAGAACTTAAGATTTTTTGCAAATAAAATTTTTAAATAAGATTTTCGAAGCAAATTTAATATTCAAATGTCTAGCATGTTTGCCGAGAACGGAATGCTATCGAGACGAATAGACGACAATGTTTGTGTTGTATCTCAAGTTGTGAGAAACTCCGCTTCGCGTATGTGTTAGACTTAATTCTAAAATTCTTTGGAATTCTGAAAGTAAACTATCTATTTATTCAGTTTTTTTAGATTGGGCTAGTTTTTTCAGAAGTTCTTTTTTTTAATTCAGAGCTTTCAGGTGATTATTTTTTTTTCTTCGAATACGCAACATTTTTTTTGTTTTGGTGAGTTCGCTGACAGTTCCAAATTGCTGCTCTTTACTTTTTTCGAAAATGGGTTCCCCAGCGGACAGTTATCGAATTGGGGTCGTGTTATATAGAAAAATTGTCAAGCATAAAAGTTTGAAATTTAACGAGCTTTAAAATGATATAGTTTTCTTTCCAAGATTCGAAAGGTGAAAAGAGTTTAAAAAAAAATTTTTTTTTGGTGCCCTTCAGTTCTATGACCATTTTTTAACCGTTTGTCGGCATTTTTTTCTATTTTATGTTATTTTATTCTTCCACCTCTGACCGTAACGCAGATAAAATACCGTCACACAGTACAAGCACATCCGAATTCAAAGTTCTTTATCGTACTGAGTATTCGTAACAGAAGTTTCGTAACCTTTTAAAAAACGACGCCCTCTTTTTCAAAATTTTTTCTTAAATTGAGCTGATTGCAATGAAGACTTCGGTTTACTTGGTGTGATTCATGTAGTTTTATTTGGTTGTTTTTTCGCGCTCATGTTTGGCCATTTTTAATTGCCAATTACTGCTGAAAGTTAAATCAACAACTTGTGGGTGATTATGAAAGAAAAAGTATATAGTTTTTTCAATTTCTTAAATCTTGTAAACCTATACCAAACATATATGTGTGCTTGAAAACAGTACGTTTTAGTGTACCCACAGTGTCCTAAATACATCCTACCTATGGAGTATCGCAAACAGATTCTCTATCGAGAATTCACAGATTACTCTGCAGACATACTGGCTCTTCAGGAAGTCGAGGAGAAGTTCTTCCAAAATGAACTGCTTCCATTCTTCGAAACAGTAGGAATGACGGGAGTGTACTCCACGTTGAATGCACGGAGGTTAATTTCATATCAATTTCAAATGGGTCGAGAAACAACTAGAGCAATTTTTGATTTTCTTTTCTTAATTTCATTGGTGAAAAGTGAAAATTTTTTAATGTGAATCGAAGTAATTCATTTATTGCGTACAGCCAGGAAAATCTATTTAAACCGCTGGAATTTATTTTATTAAAAGTTTAGTTTTTTTCGTATCCATACTCTTCAGTAAGATGACAAATACTATCCAGAATCGAGACCAACCAGAATCGAGACAAGAAAGAAAACTTACGAAATAAATAATGAATAATTTCGCTAGTTTGCCCTGGTCTCGATTCTGATTGGTTAATATTGTATGTTTCTACTTACTCAAGAGAATGAATACGCGGTTGTCTGGTTTCTGCTACGTAACCTTTCAAATCGATGTGTTTAATTCAGAAGTGACGGAGAGGCTTTGATCTACAATAAGAACCTGTTCGATTTGCGTGAGTCGAAAACCCTATCCATGAACGAGTCTTGCTATGACAGTGAAGTGCTCACTATATTCTTGCGTATCTGCTCCCATGATTTGAGAGAAGACTTCTTGTGTCGAACAACAACTTTCCAAGTAGACCTTTTGAAAATATTTTGTGATTTCTATTGCAAAGCCTAAGGAAAGTTTCAATTTTGTGTAATCGTAGCAATGAGTTGATTTTAAAATGGTCGGCAGTTTTTCAAAAACGCATCGATTTGCAATGATTGCTGAAATTTATGTAAAATTGTAACTATATTTTGAAAATAAATCGACATTTACTCTGTTTTTTAAAAAAAGAAATATCGCCTTAAACTTTCTATCAACGTTTGTCTTTGTAGTACTGCTTGCTTGAAATGAAGAAGAGATCCAAGTATGTGCTGGTCGTGAACTCTCACTTGGCTGCCAAGCACAACTTCGATGTTGTTAGACTTCTGCAGACAGCAACTGCTGCTCATTTTGTCAAGTGCAAGAGCGAACAGATTTGTGCTGATTTGAATATTTCCAAAAGTAATTTGGCAATTTTTTTGTTGGGAGATCTTAACTCAAGCCCTGACGCGTTTGCAACACGATACATGCACAAAGAGGTTTTAGACATCGAGGAACTGGATCCGATGTCGGCGGGAACCCAATTTACACTGCAGTTACCCGAAGACTTGGTTTCTATGGAAAGTTGTTATCCTAGATGGAGTATTGAATTCACGAATATGGTTTTTAATTTCACCTCAACTTTAGATTGGATTTATTACAACCGAGATGTGTTGGAGTGTGTAAATAAACTCCCAATGCCTTCGCTGGAGTCTGTAGCTTCTTACGGCGGCTTACCGAATGTGGGTATGGCATCTGACCATTTAGCTTTGGTTGCGGATTTCGCATTTATTACATGACAGTAAAGTCTGGGTGCAAATATTGGAATTAAATTTTATCGCGAGAGTTATTTTGTTTATTGTGATACTTAAATGTGAATTAACTTGCCAAATAAAATGTAAAGTTTCTGTCAATGAAAATAGTTCTATTGATCTGCATTCTTTCTCCAAATAAGGCAAAAGAAGTTAACTAATTGAGGTTTAATTAAAAGTGAACTAATCATTTTCATGCTTAATTTCTAACAGTAGGTCAATGTTCAGTTTTCAAATGTCCATAGTTCTTTCGAAGCTCAATTCTTGGCTCCACTTGAAAAGTTGCTCCGCTTCCTCCTCCCAGTTTTCCTCTATACTCACAAAGGTGTTCTGTTTCGCTCTGGTCCTCCCAGTGTCGCCTGATTTTCAGACCAGGGTGAACAAAGTTCAATTTAGATATTCTTAAGCCTCTGTTGTTGAGGAGATACTGTTCGTGCCAGGAAGTCATGAATTTTTAGTCCATACTCATTTCAATCTGACAATTTCGTCAAAAGTCGTTTTGATACTACGCAACCAATAAAATGAAAATGGCGCCAGGCTGTTTATTAAGAGACGGTGAATGTAGTTCAGACTCTTATATAGGTCGCGGTGATTTTTTTTTGGAAAGTCTTAAAATTTGTTCAGGCTCAAGTTTACTTGATCGCGGTTTGACTTTTGATTTGTTTTTAAGTTCCGTTCACTTTTGTGTTAAAAGGAGGGCAAACTCCACTATTGAATAATAAAAATGTAAACGTCACGAAAAACGTGATCGACTTCTAGTTTCGAAAATGGAATTTAATTATCAGGTTTCCCAGCGAAATAGAAATTTTACCTATTGATCCAGTTTTTTTCAAATTGGGTTAAATTTATCAAAAAAAGTGCCAATCATAAATTGTTCTGAAAGTTCAAAGAGCTTTAAGGCCTTTGTTTCGTGGAAAACCGAAAGTTGAGATTTTTTTTAAAAAAAAAACAAGCCAGTATTTTGGTTCTGTTTTCTTGCGCTCATTGAGTCTTTTCTAACTGTCTGTTGGATATGTTTTATGCATTTTCTATGCCTTTTTTGGTTATCGAATTAAAGTATTCTTTAAAAATCATAAAAGCCAACTAATCATTTTCATGTTTTAGCACAAAAAAGGTTTGTCATTGAGAGTAGAATTTTCCAGTTGGTCAAGTTTTGTGGGTAATATTCAAGACTATGCTTAGTGATTTTTGTTGGTATGCCTACTTAGATAAAGTATTTAAAAAGATCAATCTGTCCCTTTCTCACAAATTTGGCATTCAGTTTTAAATTTTAAAAAGACCTTGACATAATTTTTGTCTCAAAAAAGCTTGCATGTAAATATTTCTGAAATTGGTTATTTGTGAAAATTGATTCTGATTGCTCCAACTTTTTGCTAAACCCTGTAGTATTGTGATATGTAATCCAATTTGGTCACCCTGGTCTAAGCTGTCTCCTGAAGCCCCCCTCAAGTACATTTGTCGCATGTTATGTGCCCTCTCTTTGGCTTGTTTACTCCCCCGGGAACTGTTTCTGCTCCTATCACTCTCAAGCACATGTGCACGGGCAGTGGTCATTTTGGCGGGAGATATTGGCGTTTGAGGGGGTACCTTGAAGAAATCAGGTGAATTAGTTGGTCCATGCGTGATATAGGTGACGCTTTTTTGTTTAAATGTGTTGTTTTAACCTGGAACTTGGGAAGAACGCCGAATCGAAATAAGTAAGCTAAACGAAAACTGGAAGAAAAACAAATAGGTTTTTTAGGACATAGATCAAGAAACGGAAAATATCTGATTGGTCCAAAAGTCGCGTTAGTATTTTTTTCTGACTGAAACCAAGTTAGTTTGTCAGAATAGTCATTACTAGTTCGTTCAGAGTTTTAAAAATCCTGTTAGGCGAGGAGACATTTCTTGGACAGTCATTTGAAATCGTATGCGAAAAGTTAATGTCGACAGTATTGGCGGTGGTAGCTGCAACTGAATGTAAAGTCTAGATAAATGATACCTTCATGTGTGAGATGACATTAGCTTGTTCCATCTCTTGAGCTACTGTGTTTGGGCGTGTGAGAAGGCGGGGGATGTTGTCCCGCAAGTGTTCTGATATCTCGTGACCTGTTTCCAGGAACTCCATCAGATCGTAAAACACAGTGTACCTCGGAATCTCCCTGAAATACAGGCGAGATCTTTTAGTTTGCACATTACATATATAGTTAGTCCTAAATATTAGACTAGTCGAAATGAGCAATTAATCCAAGTGATTGTTCATTAATCATTTTGAGGTGAGTCAATCAAAATCCAATTTAGATTGAATTTTTCCGAACTTACTTTGAAGTAATTCAATTTCAATGCTAAAATCTGCGAGGAATTTCAAAAATAGAATAATTTTTGAAAATGTTTTATAAGTTGGAGTAAGGCAACATTGATCAGTGAAATTGATGGCAATCTGGCATTTATTAGACTTATCTGGTCACACAAGCTAGCCTTGTATTATAAGAGCAGTTCTTTTTTCAACCAACGTTAGTCTGAATTTTCTGTATTCAATTTTTTGCGCTCTTTTTTTGAGCGGCGGGAGATCTGCGGTTCAAATCCGGTAGTCTCCAAAGCTGACGAAATTTATAGTTGAGTTTCTTTCAGATCGTATTTTCAGTTTTTAGATTTCCTTTCCCCGTGTTTAGTTGCTCGCAGTTGTAAACAATCCCTCCCGTTGCAAGAGCAGTCTAGTATTAGATTAAATATTCGGATAAATTCAGGTTTCGCTAAGAAGACTCGTTCTTAACCAGATACAAGGTAGGGAAGGGGGTGTTGCTAAGTGTTTCTAATTTTGTTAAAGATCATAATTGACTGTGGAAAAGTAAAAGAGTAGTACGTTAGAGTAAGTCTTCGCCAGTGGTTTTCCCTGCCCCCCATGTGACTGGGCAGTTCGTCCAAGTCCGACTGCAGTCGCCAGTAGTCCTTCACACTCACCACCTCCTCCATGTCCCAAATCTGTCAGAAAATAGAGAGAATGTATTTTCCTTTTGTGAATTAATCAAACGTCGAATAAGGAAAAAGACGAGATTTGGAAAACACACAATGCAAATCATCATAAGACACAGTAGAAGTAGAAATTTCCAAATTGTATTTTGTAAGAAAAAACTAAAAACTGGTGTGCGTCAGGTAGAGGTTTTTTGACTGGAAATATGCCTGTAACTTTGAGCAGCGCTAGGAAGACCGTATTTGTGAAACTGCACCTTTAAATACTATTAACTTGCTGGAAAAACGTATTTAATAATGATGATGATGAAGCTACTGTACTTGTTTTTTGTCGAAGTGGTGAGCGTCTCTGAGCATCTGGTCGACGAACTTCCGCTGGCCCATATTTTTCAGACAGTCCCTCGAGGCATCACTCGCAGGTCTGATGCAGTTCTTACCACTCAACATGTTAGCCTTGGTTGTCATGAAGATCTTGAACACGACTATAGGGGGAAACTCGGTGCCAGTGAAGCGGAACCGTATCCTGGCCTTCATTGCGGGGTCTCGAATCAGCTCGGCCTCGTGCGGAGACACCTGGACGTTTATTGCACATTAAGAAAGCAAAAGTTGGACCTTAATCTGTTTTTTTTTCTTCAGAATTTAGAAAATTTTTGGAGCGCGCTTCGAGCTCGTATTTTTTTTGCTTAAAAGAATTTTATTGTACTAAATCAATATTGATTGATTTTGTACCTTTTTGAGAATGTCGTAGCTGAGAGACATCTCGGCTGCCCTGACGGAGTGTTTGAGAAGAAGGAACATCTGTTTGTCCCTCCAACGCCACCAGTAGTTCTGGATCCGCCGGGCACATTCGTCCTAAGCAAGAGTCCTAATTAGGGGGATAAATGGATGGTTAATTTAAGTAGATTAAAACGCAAGTAGCGTGATGGGGCTGTTAACTTGTCGCCGATTTAATTTTTTTCTATACTGTGCAGAAAATACATAGCATAATAATCGTCGCTTAATTTGGTCGGATTCTATGATAAATATAGTTTTATGTAGGTATCATGTAAGTGGGTACCTGATGTCCTTATTTCTGATTCGGACCTTCTTAAAAATCGTTCTAAAAAACTGATGATTTGAAAAAAAATCTATAATTCACAGTTGTCTTTCAAGGGCTTTTGTTCAATTGTGAAAAGTTCTAAAATACATGAAACAAATATTTCTCAAAATTAATACACGCGAAGAAGGGCTTCTAAAGTAAGTCCTAAAGGGGGAGATGTGTTTAATAGACCCTCCGATTCTTACTTTTTGATTCAATCTTGCTGGCTGTATGGTAAACATTACTATTACTAGTATTCTAACGCAGCCTATAAAGGGCGTGCCATCACGATTTGAATTTTAATCACAACCTAAAAAAATATTTAATGGGAGAATATTTTAATTCTTGCCTTGTCGTCTTCATTGGAACCAACATTCTTGTCTGTTCCCGACTTATTATTCGCGTCGTCATTTTTGTTGCCAGTTCTGGTAGGCGCTCCGGATCGCTCGTTTTTCTGCACTGTTCTGTCCCTAGTGCTAGTTTCAGGTGTAAGTGGGGAGGCATTGGGAAGCTTAATTGTAATCTGAGACTTCTGTCTGTCTTCAGTGAAAGATGTTTCAGCCATACAGAATGAAATAAAATTTTATTGATATTTATAAAGTAAAATAGCTAATCTGAAAACAATTTTATTGACGTATATGAAGAAATTTTTGTATATTGCTTTATACCGACCATCATTTGAAAGCAAATCGAATGTAATTTTTTTTTGGTTTATGAAAATATAATGGTATAAATTAGACCGACCATGTGAAGCCAGTAGTTTGGTTATTTATGAAATCACCTGTGTTAAAAGCGTGTGCGTTTTTATACCGTGATCAGTAAAACGTTTGCGTCAACGTGACGTGAGCTTAATAGTTGAAGCGAATATAATATTGATATTTAACTGAATGACCAAACAAATTTTGTCTATCGTATACAGTTAAAAATGATGAATATGTTTTAAGAATGTGCGTATTACTTCTTACTCGGCATCTTGCTAGCGCTCTCCTTCCAAATTAAATTTTTCTAAAATATAAAATCCATTGTTTGGCAATGGGGCTATAATCGGAAAGAATACATAATTTTAACCATACTATAGTTCAGGGGAGGATCTAGGATTTTCTCGAGGGAGGGGGGGGGGGGTTCGAAAATTCTGTCGATCTGTTTTTGGGCTGACCAAATTGATTTTTCCGAGCTCTCCCAAAATTTTTAAAAATCAGGCATTTTTTGGAAAATTTTGACCAAAGAGTTGCGTTTTTTCGGCGCGCGCTCCCTCAAATATAACTTAAACGTTTTTTGCGTGGAAATGATCAATATATGAGCTGTTTAGCTCATCGCCCAGAAGCGTTGGCGAGTACTTGGTTAATTTATGCGAATATGTTTTTTTTGTATGTAATACTGGCGTGGATGCTCTGCGTTGTTATTATGATCATGTTCGAATTGTTTTTCAGATTGGTGCTAATAGTATTTCTGTCCAAGCATGATGTTTAGAACGGCTCTGCAGAAGAGATCTTCCCCGCCCAGTACAAAGAACCAACCAACTAAAGAAGATTCCTCACATCTTAACACTAAAGACAATATCATCAACAACAACCATCTCTCTTCTCAAGTGATGAGCGTTTTGATACATACATTTCAAAACTTCTAGTAAAAATGTTAAGTTGAAAGTCAACAGGCCTTCATGAACTTTAAAGAGGTTTTACACAGGTTTTATTACATCAATAACACTTGTGTAATAGGATCAGTTCACTTTGAATTTTCCACTTAAATTGCAACTTTCTTGATCATTTTTTGCGATCAATTTTTTCACGCTGTTTAATTTCGGTTTGGTGCTATCAAATAGTCAGTGATGCCCAGCAAAAAGATATCAACCGATTTTTTAACCATTAACTATTTAAAATGCTTTTGACCAAATTCGTTTAACCAATTTTGCTTATAAACAATGATAAAACAATGCTAAAATCTGTCAAACTAATTGTAAATGATTTATAATTTAAAGGTAAACGCCCGTTGAAATTTTTGGACGTTAGCAAGTGTATTAAATTGAGGGAACATTACTGAGAGAAGGTGAAAAATTTCAAGGTTCCTCGGCCAAGGTTGTTAGGTTAGATAAGATCTGCTTTGAACCAAACAAATTGTTTATTGGTTAAATCATTTTAACCAACCAATTTTTCAAACAATTGGTTGAACCAATTGTTAACGGAAAGTTATATTGGACATCACTGCAAATAGCGTTTGACTTTCAGCTCATCGATAGTCAAAAGTTTAAAAAAATCATAACATTTAATAATTTTTTCTGTTTCGTTAAGTAGCTGGACGCCTTTTGTTCCGACCAATGAAAAGGGGAGGCACTTGGTATTCCGATGTGTTTTAGTTTTTTTTCTTTTTTGTTTTCCACGCAAACTCATGTACCTCAATTAATCATTAGAATAGTTCTATATGTCGTCAGATATATCTTATTAAAGACCTTTAGCCGTGGTTCGAACGACTGAAAAACAATTTTAAAAAAATTGTCCTTGTATTGAGAAAAACCCGCTTAAGTTTTTTGAGCATTAGCCTAATTTCGAGCGAGTAAAGAAAGTGCTCGAGTAAGCAACGATATTTTTAATTATATAAAAGTTGGTCATTTTGGCTGGCAAAACGTGACTTTAATAAGCGAAAACTAGTTTTGGAAGCTTAATTTAGGGCTTCCGTGGTAATTAAGTTATCAAAAAAATTCAAAAAGTTTGTGCAAAATTAGAAACTTTTTTGAAGATTCTTTTGATTGTTTGTTATTTTGAGAAGTTAAGTGTTGTTGATAATGCCTAATTGACTCTCTTTATACACGTTTGAGTAGTTCTTTCATCACGCAAAAGAAAATACTCTAATTTGAAGAAAAAAGCTTTTTGTAGATTTTGTATGAATGTGGTCGGAACATCCTGTGCTACTTGCACAGCAACTGGTTATCTTTGTTCAATTATGGCAATGTTTTTTCGGTTTTGAAATTTTTGGTCCTTTTTATTCAGGTTTTGACGATATCCATTTGGATTTAACTGTAACTTGGCGCATTGCTTTTTAAATTCACTTGAATAGCAACTATCTTTTGGAAATAAGTTCATTTTTTGAGTTTTTATTACCTTTTATAGCGCAAGTGGTGCGTAGCTTAGCTTTGCTTCTTTTTTTTCAGTTGTAGCCAGTAATAAGGTTAACCCTGTGAAATTGCATTTTTCTTTCAATCATTCTAATAAAAATCTCATCCTTGACCTCTTTAGTCCGATTCATCGGAAGACAGGTGTAAAAAGGCGGCATCAGGAGACACCCAGTTGAGAAGTCAGAGTAATGAAGTCCGAAATGCATCTAAGAGGAAATTCGAACAAGAGGACAGAAACTGCATCAAGAGTCCAGGCCGATTGGCGAGGAAGAGGATCCGAGATGCAAAGCACCGAGCTAGATCAGGTTAGGATAGCGAAAAGAGCTCTAGAAAAGAAATATCAATTTGAACTATCAGAATTTTTTCTGGTGTAGGTTTTTATTGGGTTCTTGTTTGAAATTGGAATTTCTAACCTCAATTTAATTTTGAAATAAGATTTATTATTACGTTTTATGCTGTTTAACGACATTTTTTTTTCTTCTTAATGCAAAACTTTAATAAAGAGTGTTCTTAAAGGGCCATTAATTGCAATTTATATCTTGTTTTTGTTTTTTAGAGCTTGTCACCGGAGATCTATTCAGTGCAGAGCGCTATTACTGCACCATGGATTTGGAAAAATTTAGGACAAACTTCACAAACAGCCTTGACAAATTGCCCCTGGAAATATCGAAGGAAATGCTGCAGGCGAGACCTTATGTAATTGACAGGATAGACGGAAGAACGCTTACTGAGTTGGAGTTTTTTGAGAGATTTGAGAAACCAAAGATACCTGCAATATTTACACACCTAATAGATGACTGGCCAGCTTATCAGGCAGTGTATTGTAGTGTTATTCTTAGAATCGTGTAAGCAATTCAAGGATTTTTTGTGAAAGGGTGAGCGATGTTAAACACGGGCGAGCTATGCAGCTCTTTTCATATGCAGCTAATTACATGCAATTTTTTTGGGTTATTTTTCCAGATTAAAATAATAATAAAATTAAAAAGTTGTTTCTAATCTAATTGATTTAGATGGAACGAAAACACGTGAAATTATTGAATGATAATAGATTGGGAGGGCTCTTTTAGACCTGAAAGTCCCTTAAATGATTTGAGTTTTCGAACAGAAAATTCCTGAGTATTTACACAATACACTGGTGCTAGGAGAACGCCAAATGGTCCAGTCTTGCCTGGTTAGATCGGAAGTTCAGAAACCAGAAGTTCAAATGTGGAGAAGATGACAGCGGCTGTTCTGTCAAGATCAAAATGAAGTACTACCTCCAATACATGACATCTACTGTCGATGATTCTCCTCTGTACGTGTTTGATTCGAACTATGGAGAACACCCGAAGCGGAAGAAGCTGTTGAATGACTACAAAGTGCCCCATTTGTTCCAAGAAGATCTGTTCCAACACGCAGGGGAGGGAAAGCGACCGCCCTATAGGTTAATTTATTTCAGATATTTAAGCCAGTTAGAAGAGTGTATTGAATAGAAAGTTGGTCTCAGATTTTGGTGCATTGATAGCGATTGTGCCCGATATAATTGCGGTTTCAGATAACTCGTACGCTGCTGTTATCGAAGTTAGCGTTTGGAATATAGCCATAGCTTAGTTGACCTCAAATAATGAACCTCCGGTTGAGGCCTCTGGCTGGTTCTCTTAAAAATGGCAAACCTTTTCTATACTAAACTGATGCTTATTATTTCAATCTTTTTTTTATGTTGTCGGACGAAACTTTTTTGAATATGGGGGAAATCGTTGAGTTCAGAACGAAATCTGAAAGCACGAAAGTGATAAATTCCAGTATATGACAGCAGATATTGTTGTGCATTTCCTCAGGTCTTACAAATTACTGCGGCTTTCGTTTTTTTTGCTCCGGTTTATGTCGTAGTGCTTAGTTTGAGTTTCGTTTTTTAAACCCCGGTCCTGCTCATCGTCCGACCATCCGTTGGGGAGGGGGATGTCAACCATTTTGCCGTAGTCATCCCAACGTAAGGAGACGGATGACACTGGGACCCCTCCTACCGTGACCGTTTGGGTTTTGTTGCAGGTGGATTGTGATGGGTCCTCCGAGGTCTGGCACTGGGATCCACATTGACCCTCTGGCCACCTCTGCCTGGAACTCTTTGATCAGAGGCGCTAAGCGGTGGTGTCTGCTACCCAACGAAGTGCCCAAACATCTCATCAAACCTCAAGTAGGCTCCATATTTATTATGTGATTTTCGTGGCGTATATTCAAAAACAAAGGGCTTGATGTGGCCATTGAGACTTCGTTTTTGTGACAAAGTTTCTTTTACAAGAACAGAAAAATAGTCAAAATTTGAGCTGATGCTATTCCTTCGCGTAAAGTTCTCATGTTGTTATTTCTTAACTAGTGTATGTCCATTTGGACGCGCCTATGAGCTGAAAGTTTTCTATTGAAAACATTTTTTTGGTTATTAAGGACAATTTATCCAAGGCTAAACAGATTTCTCGACTGTTCAGCTCTTTACGGAGAACTCCTGGTTAAATTTTCTATCTATTTTGGTGATAATGTTGGACGGAGTTGGTGGTGTTTAAGGCTAGTGACAACTGTAGCAAGCAAAAGGACGAGGCAGTCACCTGGTTCCGCTACGTACATCCCAGAGTAACCAGTGCTGCCTGGCCAGCCAAATGGAGACCCATAGAGTTCATTCAACTCCCTGGCGAAACAGTATTCGTCCCAGGCAAGTTACGTCGTAGACCGTATAAGTCCCACCCCTCCTCACTTCGAGTTTCGAATAAAATGTACAGGATAACTAGTATAACTATGAGACAGTATTTAGAACCCACTTTAATCACTGACATAGATTGTCGACGAATTGAACTTTATAGTCAATTTTGAAGATTTTTTTGCTATTACATAAAACTTAGTTCAAAAAATAAACAAACATCCAAATAAATAATAAGACTATGTTTTATTGCAAAAACAGCGGATGAAAATTGCCATTGGGTATTTATGGTAACTCTGAGGAGCCTAAAATAAGTACCGATCTGAAAAACGAGAGAAGGTTTCTACAGGAGAAAAAAACAGCCCATTACTTTGAGAGATTAAAAAACTGACTCATCGGTCAAGCACTTTTCGAAGCACATTATTAACGTTTGTTGAAGCGTTTATTCATTTATGTCGCACTCAATAGCTTCAAAATAACCGGTTGATACCATTGGTGCATTAATAAAGAAATTATCATGGACTTGAAGCAAATCATTTTTGTGATGAGGTCCTATGAACTCAGTCGGGGTAAAGCATTTAAAGACGAAGCCATGTTTTAAGGAGGTTGGTGGCACGTGGTATTGAACCTTGACATATCAGTTGCGATGACTCAGAACTACTGCAACACCGGTAACTTCAAACACGTCTGGCTCAAGACCGCCAAGGGGAGACCCAGATTCTGCCACAAGTGGTACCGGACACTGAAAAAACTAGGTCGTGAAGACTTAATTGCGATGGCCCACGAAGTGAGTCGCAATAATCCAGAACACTTCCCAAATCTGGCAGCCAACCTGTCTAGTTCAGACTCTTCCAGTGATACGAGCTCGGCCTCCAGCGACAGTTCGGCGTCTGTGGAAGAGGTAGTCGAGCCTCAGAAAGCCAAAGTGATGCCCATTTCAGCATCAACTTCGTCGTCTTCGTCATCTTCGTCTTCAGCACAAGAGGTACTACTTTTCTATATAATGAGGCACAACCTCAGTTTTTTCAACTCAATTGGCTGCAAGCTCCACTTCCTGATTTTTTGGGAGAAAACTATTTTATAACCATAAATGCGCAACGTTTTGCAGGAATAGATACGAAAATTAAGAGATCGCGTATATAATTTTAAATTGCCCCGCCCTAATCATTAAGATCGAATATCAGATATGATCACATCGGAGGAGTAACTTGGACGTCCAATGGTATCTTTCTCTTGATATAAAATCCATATATATTCCTGATATTTTTTTTTTTCAAGAATTGTACGACGCAACTGTTGCTCCACAGTAGAATTATTTTCATGTTTATAGGTTGCAGTCACAGCCAAAGACGAATTCTCATCGTCCAGTCTTTGCATCGAAGAGACAACAGGCTCAACTGAGGTTACTCTAGGTGGAACCAATGTCAAACAAATGGCTGCTTCTGCTGCGCCTCAACAGGAGGTGTTGTCGAATTCATGTCGCAATGGGGGCGAAGGGGGTGTAATGGGGAGGGGCGAGGAGTCGCTAGTTGATGATGCTGATTTGAGTCCGGACACTTCGGACGATGACAGTGGCATGGAGGAACAGGACAAGAAGAGGTTTGTCAATCCAACTCTATTACCCTTGCGATAAGCAAGAGTTTTGCAATTGGTTACTAGACCCCGTAATTTTTTTCCCGTAAATAACTTTGTTTACAGGACTCGTCTCCTGGAGCCTGGACTCACTCGTATGCTTCCTTAATTATAAATTCAAATTCAATCTGGCGTAGTGGTAACATCTGCTTAAGACGTCATGGGCTTTTTTTTGCATACTTGAGTTTGCTTTTTAGGACTATCGCTCGTCTGCTTTTTCAGCTTATGAAGTTTTTGTGTCTGTCTGCTTATTTTTGCTGGCTTAGTTCCCGCTCAAAGGACTTTTTTTTCCAAAAAATTGGCTTTTTCGCATTCTGAAAGCTCTTTGTAAAGTTTCTAACGGTGCATCTAATTTTGTCCCGTTCCGGGAATTTGGCGCTTTTATTGCCATTTTTCTATATTTTTGTGACAAAGTTATTTTAAAAGATTTTTTTTTTCAATTTTTGATTTTTTTTAAATTGATTTTGATCACAGTCATTCGTTTTTGTATCGCGACTGGCGAGAAGCTCAGTTTCGCTCATGTGTATACTATCGAATAGCAACAGTGTATAGGTCACGATAAATGTGATCGAATTCTAATTTCGGAATTAGATTTTAATTATCAGATTATCCAGCGAAACGTTAGAAAAATATCGATCCAGTTTTCTCAAATTCGGGTAATTTAATCAAAAAAACGTGTGAATCATAAGTTGCTGCTGAAACTCATTTTTTTTCTCTGCAATTCGAAATTTTGAAGTTTCAAAAAAAAAATCAGTGATTTTTTTCTTGGGTTCATTGACTCTTTGCCAGTTGTCTGTTGGCTATGTTTTTATTTACAGCTTGCGTTTGCGAAGTTCAGCGTTGCCTCTGTTTGTTCGGATGATTGTACTCTAATATATGATAGCGTTTTTCGTTTTTTTTTGTTCATGCTTTGATGTTATTAAGGAGGTCAGATAATTCCCTTTGTTAAGGTCAGATAATTCCCTTTGTTAAAAAGAAGGCAAACTCAAACTATCGAACAGCAGAAGTGTAAAGGTTACTTCAAATTTCGAAAATGGGGCGTCAATTTTCAGATTTCCGTGCGAAATATAACATACCAATCGATTTATCGAAAAGAGCCAATCATAAATTCGAAGAGCTTCATTTTAAAACAATCTTACTTTTTTGAAATTAGAAAGTTGATATTGTTTAAAAAGTCAGTTTTTTTTGTTTTCGTGCGTTCATTGACTCTTTTCTAACACGCTGTTGGCTCTGTTTGAAATCCTGCATTGCTTTTCTCGTTTTTGAACAAAATGTATGAGTCGTAGTACTGTACTGGACAGTTACCAGTTATTTTCAATAAGTTATTCAAATCAGTTGTTTGTCCTTTGCTTTCATTGACTTTTTTCTAATTGTCTGTTGGCTAGGGTTTTCAGCCCGTGCTTGCGAAATTCAGCGTTGCCTCTGTTTTTTTGATTTTCACAGTCTTGTTTTGTTTTACCATGCTTTTGTAAAAGCGTGATTGCTTAAAACATGAATTTTCGATTCGTCGAGTCGATGATTGTAGTCCAGACTCTAATATCCGATGATGTTTTTTGTCTTGTTTGTTCATGCTCAAATTCGATGTTTTCAAGTTCAGATAAATTTTTTTGTTAAAAGGAAGGCAAACTCAAACTATAGAACAGCAGAAGTATAAATGATACGAAAAATATGTTGGACTTCTAATTTTTTAGCAAATGGGGTTTTAATTTATAGATTTCCCTGCGGAAAAAAAAGTTACCAGTTTGATTCAATTTTCAAAATTGGATTAATTTTTATCGAAAACAGCTTATCAAAAGTTGTTGCTGAAATTGGAAGAGCTTTATGTCAAAGGACGTCTCTTTTTCTTTGAAATTTGAAGACAGTTTTTTTTATTATTTCGTGCGTTCATTGACTCGATTCCAGTTCGGTGTTGGCTCTGTTTGAAACTCGGTTTTACTGGTCTCATTTTTGAACCTAATGTATGAGTCATAGTACTGTAGTATGATTTATGGGTTGCGATTATTTCCAAAGTTAACAGGTTCTGTATACAGTTTTCATCCCAAATTCCAGAATTGATTTTTTTTCGAAAATCGTCTGAAGTCTTAAGCTCACTTCTCTTGCTCAATTATTGTTGTGACCATTTGAAAAACGGCGAGAAATTTTGTATTCCGTTGTTTTAGTTTCTTTTTTTCGAAGCAAAGTCAGGTTCCACAAATTATCATCGAAGAGCTGAGTAATATATCATCTTAAAGCCCTGTCAGTCGTCATTCGAACGACATCATAAAATTTCGAAAGTTTTTTCCCTGTGTCGAGAAAAACGGGTTTGAAATTTATGATTTTTCGTTTTAATTCGAGTGAATAAAGCGAGCGAGCAGGCCTACAGTAGGCTATTTTATTAGCTTAATTTAAGCCGTAAATACTTATTTCTATTCGAGTAAAGCTAGTTTTGTTATGTATCTTGGAATCAAAATTTTTAGAATTTCAAAAACTGCAAGAAAAAGTTCATTTGTTTTTTTTGTTTTTATAGTAATTTTTCTACTAAAATTATTTTAGAATTTGCGTATTACTACGACTGTCTACTTTTTCGTTCAATTTTTCTATCACACCACGCCGAATAAACGACATTAATTTGAAAAAAAATGGTGTTGCGTTTTATGACTATGGTCGGAACATTCTGTGCTACTTTCACAGTAACCGGCTATCTTTGTTTTTAAATCACAAAGGATTATATTCGTGTTAACAAAGGTTATTTCTATCCTCCTCGCTAAACAGCATAAGGGAGAATGTTAAAAAATTGTTTATGATTGAACACTTTTTGTTAGACAGGTTTAGCTACAGGCACGAGAAAAGTGCCTTAGTTAAATATAAAGTTGAAAATATTGGAGTTTATTTTCGTTGGTAGTGTTCCCTTGTGCTGTATGTTTTACATAGAATTTTGAAGGTTAAATGAGCTTAATGCTTTTTTGCGCGGAATTCTTTAAACTGGACTTTTTGTTTCAGGAGAAAAGTTGCAGCTAACTCATAAAAGGCAATCGTCTTCTCCCGGGGTCCAATCGCTGACAATCTAATATCAAGAATGTTTCCAAAGGAAACCTCAAACCGCTTTCTGCTAACAATGAACTCATTAAAAAAGGCTTTTTAGCTCCACGTTTTTGTTGCTCTGACCGAGCATAATGGATATACCTATGTATTTACGTTAATTTAATTTCTCAGTTTTGTTTTAAGCAGAAATCAAATTGAGCTTACTAGAAAAGGAAACTAGTTGGCTGCTTTATGCAGACTCTGGATAAAATTCACTCAAATATTGCGCGGATGTTGGCTGGTAATCACTGTTGTTCTCGAAGGCTCGAATTATGATATCTGTTAGATACTTTCATGATACCTGCTTAACCTACTTAATAGTTATTGATTGTAGTAAATTCTGAAGATTTTGATCAAGTTTTTAGAAATTTGAAATAAAGCAATGAAAGCTTCATTTAAAAGCTTCCTTGGCGTATCCCCTAAAAAGAAAATCCCGACAACTCCAAAATCTCAATTTCCTGCTCCTGCTGTCCAGCAGACTATAGAAAAACCAGAACATGAGTCTTTTATCTGCGGTTCAATCTATGATTTCAATGCAAACCAAGTCAACCAGGGTTTTTATAGAGACCACATTGTAAAAGTCTCAACAACCGTTGAGGAAGATATAAACCTGCAAGGTACCAATCAACGTCAACCAACGTATGATCTAATAGACCATGGCTCATCTAATTGGGATACCTATTACCATCTTGCAACCCAAAGTAACGAGCGATCCGGCGCAATTTCATACTCAAATCAATCTATTTGTGCGCCTGAACTTAGATACTCTTACAACAGCCAAATTAATGCTCCTGAGTCTGTGTATAAAGATACATGCGTTAAACTGCCTCCAGAACCAGCTCACCAAGAACAGCAGCCATACAATCCGCAAACCGAAAATACAATTTACGAATACAATGATAGTGATACCAACTATAGGGAACAGAATTACGACGAAATGCAAGTCGTTTCAAATGAAGCAGAATCACCGCTCTCTGGAATCCGGGTTACACGTGTTTCAAGTCTGGCGGAATCAGTAAGCAATCAGAAAGGAGACAAAGATGTTGAAGAATCTACCGGCCAACCCGCTCATTCGAATGTCTTAGATGTCTACCCGGGGTACCGAAATTCAATGTCGGTGTCGGAACCTAAAACAAGTGTCAATTCAAAAGAACTGGCTAAAGGCAGTCGCAGTCAAGGAACAGTTGAAATCGGCAGCTTATTTCAGCAGCAAAGCGAACCGATACTCGAACTCACTCCTGATGAGCGAGTACTGATTAAACAAGAGTTTTATCTCCCTGTTAGCGAAGGCAAAGACCCGAATGCGCCAATTTGCATAGAAAGTGACGACTCCTCTATTGAATTTCTAGTTTCAAAGAATGCAAAAAGTTATCAACATCCATCATTTGTGAGAGAAAAACGAAAGTGTGTTCTGAATTGCGCGAGCGATGGTGAAGATAACGACCTGGAAGTTATTGAAATACGTCCTCAATCGTCTAGTAAGTTTAAAAAAACCATACAATTTTGGCTGCTTGCGTTTTTAGGGTCTGATTTATACTACCAGCCAATGCGCAGATTTAACGATTTTTAAAATATAGAAGTAACGAAAAACAATGTTTTTCCTAACTATATAAAAACGCGCTTTAGTTGTTACATTAAACGGAATCGACAGTCGACTTTAGCATCAGTTGTCAGTGCTCCTGTCATTTCCATGTTTTATGCAATGCCTAAAAGAAAATTTGTTGAAAAGAGTAATTAGCCTGTCAGCAATGAAGGTAAGGTTTCAGTTGCACTTTCTGGTGATAAAGAATTCTGAGTTCAGGGGCTTGCTTAATGTAAAAGGCTGAAATGCTATTCACTTCATAGCTCGTGATGCTTTTTTTGCGAAAAAGTCTCTACATTTGTTCACGCTCAATTCATATATTAAAAGGAAAGCAAACTGCTCTATCGAACACAAAACTAAAGGTCACCAGGGGCGGATTTGGGGGGGGGGGGGGCAGGCGGGGCGCGGACGCTTTTTCCTTAGGAATTCGACCCCCTGCCGACCCTTTGATACTTTTTCAGAAATCCATTTTTGGCCAACCGACCCTAAAATTTTTCTAAAGGCGCCTTTGGCGCCAATATATACTAACTTTGAGGGGGAAGCGCGCCAAAAAAACGCGATTTTTTTGTCAAAATTTTTCAAAAAGTGCCCAAAAACGGCTTTTTTGACTGTTTTTTCAAAAATTTGACTGCGGCGCAGAAAATTTTGCCAAAATAGGTGCAAAACAGTGCTTTGCAAAACAGTGCTTTTTTTTGGAAAATCAAATCGAGAAAATCCTAGATCAATCAATCAATTTTTGAATTTCGAAAATCTTTAAACATAACTTTTTTCTTCGAAAGTTGAAAATGTTCAAAAGTTTTCAATTATTTTCGTTGTTCTGGAGAACTTCACTTTTCACTTTTCTAACCATCTGTTGGGTAGGTTTATTCACGCTTAGTCAAGTACATCCTAAAACGCACGGATTTCGTAAGGCCTGTTCAGTCGTTATTTGAGCTGCAATAAAATCGAAGTGAACCAAGTTCAGAAAAGACTACTTACACCTGCGAGGCTATTTAACGGGTTATCTATTTTTGAAATAAGAAAGGTGATATTTTTCAAAAAAACTGTCTGTTGGCTGTTTTTAAGAGTCTACTTTTAACCAAGCTCGCCCAAAAACAATCATTTGAAGGCATTTAAGCTGCATGGCATTGATAGTTATCTAGCATTTGTTTTATCTGCTTCATTGGTGGATATTGCTTCCTGCATTACAATCGATTATGCCGCACACGAGACAATTACACTAGCCAGCTTTACCGAGAGCAGTGTAATAATACGGTTATTCTTTTTTCCCGTCCTAATTCGCAAATACTGGTACGAATTTTTGATAGCACTGTCTTAACTTATTCCTTATCGAATGTCAAAGCACATGCTATCAAAATGCCGTAAGCACATCTGAAGCATTTTGATATATCAAATGAGTCGAAAAAAGCTATTTGTTCAAACAGAAGTTTTCCAAAGTCTATATCTGGAATTTTTTGCGGAGTGCAGATTGTTTGCGAAGTGCAAATTGGACTCTGTATTTAATTGGTTAGCTACAGTTTTAGCCATTTAAAGAAGCTTATAACAAAATATGATAGGTCTATAGTCAGATATCATCCTTCAATTCTCTGTTTCAAAGAAGGAAAAATCGATTTACTAAATCCTAAAAAAAGTTTCTAGCAAATTAAGAATAAAGCAGTAGAGTCATTGCAAATTAATGAACGATAACAACATTGGAGAGGGCAAACTAAAAGCAAATTAAGTACCAACTATGCGTCCAGGCTTAAATTAAAATTTTCTACATTAATACAAAAGAATAAATTTCCAAAACAATATGTTTTAAAAAGCACGCAGAAATTATGATAAACTTCAACATAAAGTGCTGATTTAAATTATCCGGACAAAATGAACAAAACTTGAATTTTCAAAGACGTTTTTCTCAAATGGGGTTAACACTAGACAGAAAGTGAAGAGAACAAAACTTGCTTAGAATTTCATCAGAAACAATATGGTGCAAACTTTTCTCCAAAACTCTCAACCAAAACTTTACGCCAAAAATGGGTAATTTTGGCTTTTTCCGTTAATCAAAATTTCCGCTGAAACTACTAATAATTGATGAACAATTTAAAACACAAGAAGCTTCTTACACAGCCCAACAAAGTTGTAGAAAGGTCAAAATTCCAAAAATTTGTTTTAGAGAATATTTTTTTGCGTAATAGTCAAGAAATGTGATTTTTACTATGAAAAACCCAAAATCTTTGTTTAAAAACAAATTTTAAAATAATTTACGCAAATTTTCGGAGATATAAGTTTTTTGAAGCTTTGTCGTGCTGTGTAAGAAGCTTCTTGTGATATAAAATTTTCATCAATTATTAAAGTAGTTTCAGCGTAATTCTTGATTAATTGAAAAATGTCAAAATGACGCATTTTTGGTGTAAAAATTTGGTTGAAAATTCCGGAGCACAAGTTGCACCATAATAAATCTTACAAATATCTAAGTAAACTTTGTTTTCTTCCCTTCTTGTCTAATCTTAACCCATTTGGGGAAAATGCCGTTAAAATTTCTCAATTTCTTTGTTTTGTCCGGTTAATTTAAATCAACGCTGTAGTACCAATGCTTGAAAGGAAAGAGAAAAAAGTTGTTTTTAAAAAAAAAGTATATATTCAAAATTGGCAATTTCTTTTTAGCCAGACCGATTTACTCTCATGGTAGAGATGAATCGAGAATAGTTATATCTGAGAGTTTACAACATCTTATTCAGAAAAAAAGCCTATTCGATTTTTTTAATTTTTTTTTCAAAAAAGTTATAAATTGCAATTTTGCAAAGATTTAAATTATAGATTTATATTTATTTTTGCAAAGATAAAAGTTTTAAATTGCAATTCACATATTTATACAAGCTTGTGTTATAATATGAACTTTCTTTTTTTTTCTCCAACCTAAGTCGCGATGCAATTGTTGCGACAAAATGTGTTCATTTTGAAAGCGTTCACTTTGATCCAGCTATTAAGTACAGCCAATGCTCTGGATGTTAACACAGACAATTTTATTGCAAATAGCACTTTAGCTTCAAGGTATCATAGTTCTATAGCGTAGAGGTAGGGAAGGAGACCAGCAGCAAGATAAGAGGGTTCGAAGCTGGCGGGGTCGGCTTTTTTAATGAACTTTTTCATATGCTAGTTCAAATGCGTCCGCTTTATATATTGAGACATGTTAGTTGGTAATTTTTTTTCAAGTTGACTGGTACTGCTAATGCGTCATAATAGGCTTGCGTCATTTAGCATTTATATAGACTCATAATTGGCCTACGTCACTTAAGAAATTTTGTAGGCTCAAAGTTTCACTCATTCAGTTTTTTCCAGTTGCGTTGTCGGTCATATTTTTGCTTGTGTATGCGAAGTGCAACTTCGCCTATGTGTTAATAACATGCTAATTGCAACTTAAAGTTCTCCTAATATGTAAACAGCACAGTTTTGCTATTTAAAAAAAAAACAGTTTTGAACTACGAATTCCCTAAAACTGGAGTATTTTCCTTATTCCAAAAAAATTTGTATACAGTTGATAAACTTGCTCACATTGATTTATGAATTCAACATCAAATTTTTACTGAGTAACTAAGTCGACCAGTTGAATTTGTCACTGTCTATCTATGTATCATCTATAGAATCAAGTTAACTGTGATCAGAACATTCTGCGCGACATGCACAGCAATCAGTTAATCTTGCTTGCCCTGGCGATTAGAAAGTTTTCAATATCTCGAAATTTTTTTCTTTACTTCAGTTTTTGAAGGGTTAAAAGAACAGTGATCGATTTGGCACATATATTCAAGTGGCGAAGTAAATAAAGAGAAGAACTTTTTGAGGAATGATGATTTAACCGAATCTCGATTTGAGTAAAAGTTAGAGCGAATTGAGTTGCATTTATCAAAATGTGCACTTAGATTGTCATTTAGCAGTTTACTTTGGACTGTAGGCCAGTGTTTTTGATTGCTAATGAACATAGTGAAGGCTTTTATATAGACCGTGTCAATTTTTTTAGGTCGTGATGATGATTTATATTCCAGGAAAAATTTTAAAATTTGTTCATGAAAAATTTGATCTGTCGATTTTCAATTTGTCCAAATCAAATTGATTTGGTAAAGGGAATTCAAATTACGCTTTCCAATTACCAAAACGGAAACGGCGCAAAAAAGCCAACAACTTCTAGTTTTGAATGCGGATGTTAATTTTTAGATTTCGCGGTGGAATAAAAAAAAATTACATCTAGCTCCAGTTTTTTATATTGGGTTATTTTTATGAAAAAGGTACACGTAAAAGATTCAAGTAAATCAATGAGCATCAAAATAATACTTTTTTCCCAAGTTCAAAAATTTAAATTTTTCAAAATAAGTAATTTTTTTCCGGTTTCCTTGCATTCATTGACGCTTTTCCAACTCTGTTGGCTATGTTACTATTTACCCTTTTCTCTGTAATGTCTTCCAATTTCGAGTGAACCATCTCAAGCTATGTTAAAATCACGTCGAATTTTTTAAAATCAATAGTAGCGTATTTCAAATGTATTGTTAATTGAGGGTTATCTATGGAAAATTTTTGATCCGTAGTTTCAAATAGAAATAAACTCAAACAGACATGCAGATAGCAATCAATTCAGACAGAAATAAACAATATTTCATTTTTGTTTTTGTGCAATAGACGACAACTCAAGGAGACATAAATGCTCGTCCATGTGCATGAAGAAAGTGAACTACGACAGAAGTTTATCCATTAATGAACAGGTAAGTTCAATGTCACATCTTTCAAAATTAAGTTATGACCGAGTCGGCGTGATAAATTGCTGTTTTGTAGGTTTCGTTTTTGCAAATACCTCTCAGAATGTTTGGATTTGTCAGAAATGTGAAGGAAAACTCGCTTACAAAGAAACAGACAGTCAACTATGAGACTCCGTGCGGAAAAGTAAGTGCTTCATTTTTCGACCCGCCGCCCTCTTTGTTCACGCTGCTATTTTTGTCCCGATTTTTGCAGTTTGGCATGGAAATCATCATGAGTTGCATTCAGAGTATTGTCATCGCTTTTTAAATTCGCTTTTCACGATGGTCGCTTTTTAAAAAAAAATCATTTTTCGCTTATCCAAATGTACCGCTTTTCGCTGCTGAATACTTTTCGCATAACTTGCTATGGACGTTTTTTCACAATGAGGAAGAACTCAGAACAGACTTTTTGCCGACGTTCGAAGATCGCAACGGATTTCAAAAAAAGTACGTGCGATTATTTTTGGTAAAATTCTGAGGGTTTGAAAATTCAAACAACTTTTTCGCTTTCGTTAACACTTGAAAATTCGCTATCGCTTTTGCTTATACTCCTCGATTGGCTGCTTTTTTCACCGTTTTCAGCGGGACAAGACTCTGGCTGCATTAAAAGTATAAATTTTTGCTGCAGCTACTCAGAGTCTTTAACTTCTAGATGCGTGGACCAGGTTTGCTACATGGTATTCAAAATGTCAATGGCCGTTTCAAATAGACTATTTTTTTCCATTGTATTTGAGTAAGTCCCAATAAACAATTATATTTACTGTATATCTGGCACAGGCTAACAAATGTCTTGTCGGCCAAAAAAGAAAATTTCGACGTTCAAATTTTCCTTATTTATGATCAAATATCATACATAACTCTGGATATAATCTTTTGGAAGTTTTTTGGTTTGTCCAAACAAAACTTGCCTTATTAGTCGAAAAAAGTCTTCTCGTATTGCAAAATAGCCTTTAACGCCTATTGTAAACTACAACGTGGGCTTGATTTTGCAAATGTTTTTGTTGCAGATATTGCACAAAATGTTCGATGTCGTTCGGTACCTGTGTGTGGTGAAACAAGACCAGCTCAAACCAGAGATGTTCACATTCAGTCCTAATGTCTCCACTGATTTGAAGAACGCAATACCATTTCCGAATCTTCCCATAATACTGGACATTTCCAAAGGTATATATATATATGGATGCTCGAAGTCAAACATTGTTGTAGCTTATAGCGATTGAGGTGAGTAAAAAACCGCAATTTTCCGTCTACGTAAAGCTCTCAAAAGTCGAAAAATATCGTTCCTGTCTGGATAAGAGTTGCTTTAGTTTTCCAAAAAAAATGAGCAAGTTTTTCTAAAAAGTTCCAAGGGAGCGACAGTGAAGTCTCCGCATCAAGTCGAACGACAGCTGATTCGAAGCCTTTCATGATCTGTGTTCGTTTCTTGTGAGCGAAGCAACATTTTGCAGCCCTAAAAATACCCAATAAGTAATCACAGGCACGTTTCCTCCAAATGAGCTCGTATGTTTTCAGTCTAGTTACCTAAAGAATGATTAGTTAATTGGGATTGAGGCAATAAAATTCAACCATTTTACTTCATAAAAACAAAAAACGCATTCCTTTGTCTTTGAATACTTTAGGAATGGAAAGAATGCCTATTCCTGTTGTGAATGACTTAAATGACGAGGTCGACATTCCGCTCGACTTCCGCTACATCACAACGAGAGAGTTCGAACCAATCGCAGCCAAAGACCTCAGGATGACTCACGACGCAGACCCCTCGTGTGAACAATTCTTCGTAACTTGCTGTTCGTGTGAGGACTTGTGTGTCAAGACAGCTACATGTGAGTGCCGACAGTTGACGGAGTCCTCGACCGTGACGAAGCGAACACCGGCTGGATGGCCCGAAGCGGGGTAGATTTCCAAAAATATATATCGGAAGAGATCTTGTCTTAAAGATGTTAAGGGGTCTTTTCATCATGGAGTAATTAAATCAGTTGTGTATGACAAAAAATGAATCTTCAAAATTTTTAGAGCGTTTTTAGAGGAAAATAATCTTCCAAGAAAAAGTAGAGCAAAAAATCGGGCGCCCAAAAATAGATGTGGCAAAAAATGTGTGCTATGAAAATAGAGCATGAAAATAACTGATAGTTTTGCAAATCACCATAGATAATTGTATGAAAAGGAAGACCGCCTGCTTTTGACCTCAATTTATGACTGTTACTTAATGTTTTGCTCTGACTTCGCAAATCAAGAGTGTTTTTAGCTTATTAAGCTTTGCCGCTTCTACCATTTAAGATATATTTTAATTCATGACTTGTTTAGTTACTGTTATGGACGTCTGAACTACCAGTGGGCCACCGGGGTGTTCGAGTGCAACCCTAAGTGCAGCTGCAGTCCCGGCTGTGGCAACAGACTATCGCAGCATGGACTCACTGTGCCCATGCAGGTGTTCAAGACTCCCAAAATGGGGTGGGGAGTGAGAATCACTGAGGATGTACCCAAGGGCGCATACCTCGCAAAGTGAGCTAAACAAAATTAGAACCAGTTGCGACGTGTGGTTATATCAAAATTTTACTATGTTTGCTAAAAATGTAATTTTTTTATTAGAGTTTTCAACTAGAAGTGATTGAATACTACAGTTCTTTAACAGTTTTCTCGTAAAATTTTTGCACAAGCACTGTTTGTCGTGTAAGATCATCGATTATCTTTTTGGTCTTGCGAGAATGAATTTTTTGCGAGAATGAAATGGCTTCTTACTGAATCTTTTGCGGCAATACAGTAGTTTATTACTGTCAAAAACTGTCAATTATTCAAGATTCTTGAAATTCATAGAGCTTTAGGTTGATATATGCTTTTTCCTTAAATTTCAAAATTTGGAAATTTCTTAAAAAGAAGTCTGGTGTTTGATAGACAGGTGCTATGGAGAAATTATAAAAAAAATTAGACTCTAACTCCGCAAAAAAATAGGTAATTTATAAAGACTCCTAAATTCTCAGCGGGACGCGTTGTCCTGTGAAAGCGTCAAAAAAACGTTTTTTAGCCAGTTTTACGCTTGCAATTAGCAAGCGTTATCAAATCGGAATATATCGAATTCAAATTTCTAAGCGGCTCTACCAACTGAGTCTGGAGGTAATGAATGGTATTTTTTTCTAACAGTAGTTAGAGGTATTTTGTTAGAGGTATTTTTTTCTAACAGTAAATATTCCGTTTCAAAGAAATTTTCGGCCTGTTGTCGGCTTAGTTGTCGGCAATTTTTTTGTTGAATGCCATTTTCTTGTAGCTACTTTTTATTTTTTCATTTACTCCTGCAATTTGTAATTCTACTTCCATTGACTTCGCATATTTTCCTTTTTTTTAATGTTTGAAGTTTTTTTCACGCTAAAACAGTTATCACAAGTATCCGTTAGATGGGTTCGAGACATGTATCTTTTTTAAGACCTTTCAGTCTTCCCAAAAGTTTTTTGAATGTTGAGACAAACCTCTTGGAATTTTTTTGTTTCCTATTTTTGATGAAAAACTTAGTATTTATGCTGGGGTTAGTGGAATCAGTTTTAAACTAGTATTTATAATTGGATATGAATACAATTTTTATTATTGATAAAACTATCACTATAAAATATCACTAACTAACCAATCAAATTCCATCTCCAGCATTGACACTTATTTGTAAGTGCTGAAACTACTTGTAGTTTCAGCACCAGAACAGTTTGAATAAATCTTAGACTAAAGTTGTTCTATTTCTGGATAAACTCCAAGAACTAACTCGCGAAAACCAGTATATACTCGATCTATTGAGACTAGGAGATATAAGATTAAGATTAAGATTGGTATTAGACTAAGGAGTTGCACGAATCTATCTGGTTGAAATTAAGATAGCGTGACGAACAGACGGTGTACCTTATCTGAAATTACTCTATGAGTACAGACCAAAGGTCATAACTAATCTGGTGCGAACATAAGTCTCGAACAAGACCTTAACTAACTTAGAATTAGACAAGTAAACTTAGAATTAGACAATTGCAAAAGTTCAAAAATGTTAGATGGAATAGACAATTTAATAGAAATATCTCTACGTCTCCATAAGTTTACGCCAATTTTACAAACAATACGAGAAATACCAGGTATTGCTAGAAGACCAAGACCAAGGCGTGAACAACGATCAGAAAACGGACCAATCTACTACATTATAGTAGGACGAACACCGGAACAAGCTTTTGTATTTAGAATACTCAATGCAGCAAGTTTAGATTTTCCTTTATTGACATGAAAATTATTTGAAGAGTAGTTCTTCAACAACTCATTTGGTGCTAAACCTAATATTTTAACAATAACGACTGATAAAAAAACACAAGTCGATCCCCCAAAATTTGCAGTAAATCATAAGTTTTAAATAAATAATTTATTGAATAAGAAATACAAAAATTAGTTAGTATTGAACTTTACTGTTAGTTTCATGAATTCTCTCACATCATCTTTTTTCATCCCAGCTTCATCACCTAAAAAATAACAGCATAAATTCAAAAAACTAATATCGTTTTAAACTTTAATTTTTATTCTTTTTAAATTGAGACCTCTACATAAAAAACTATCAAGGCTTATCCTTGCTTTTCCATAAAATCACTTTTTTTCATAAACAGATCGTCAAGGTTTTCGTTGGATCTTTAATTTCCCTTAAAACTAAATTTATTTTATTCAATTTCTGATCATCAAGGCTTCCCTTGGATCAAATCAGAACAATTTTGTTCTCCCCACCCCATAATTTTAAAAGTGTCTTACGACCTCAAGCGTCGATTCACTCTCCAACCCTTATAAACGACCCAGGACTAAAAGAACTTTTTGAAAAAATAACCATTTTAATTAAGATAGACAGTGAAGAACTTCGGTTACTCATGCTTCACTTGAGCCCTTCATCTTAGATGACCCAGGCTAAAATCCTTAAATAGTTAGTAAGTCATAAAATAGTATCTAACGATCTGCCTGTGTTCTTATTAACACTGAATCTTGTGGATTGATTTACTATTCTCCAACCCTTGATCACAAATCACAACCCCCTAGTTAAGATTAAGTAAGTCAATCATAAAATAAAACCTAGTCACGAGAAGTTAAAAAATCATTAAAACGAATTGATATACTCTCTCTCCAACCCGTCAACCACGACAATCTATGCCCCAAGTTAGGATAACCACACAAAAACCGTAAGAACCAACTGTTGAGGAAAATAGAAACTCTAACCCCCGAGTATTGCACCCATCATCCTAAACCTTATGTCAAGAGATAATCTAGGCAGTAAACAAACAATCATATTACAAAAATGTTTAATTAAAAACGAAAAATACGATCTTGTAATCACACCGCACAGACAAACAATAGGATATATTAGATCAAAAAGACAAACACGGAAAAAGACATTAAAACAAAACAAAAGCAAATTATCTAAAGAAGTTTTTCAAAAAGACGAAGCGCAGTCTCAGAATCAGAAACAAACACAATACAGGAACTTCAAGACTTGAAAGATTCAATATATAAGAATAACCCGATAGAAAATCAAAAATATTTTTATGACTCAGAAGCTACAACACCATCATCAAATAAAGGAAAACTCAGAGTAAAGAATCAAACATTAACAAACCAGTACGCCTAAATAATTGGAATCAACCAATAAGACATATTGAAAGCTACACATTAACAGTTCTACAATACAAAAAATGATAGAATACAACGAAAATTCGAAGATAACTCGATACTTCCTTTTTTTATACAACCACAAATTGATCCCGCCCGAGGACAAGTAAAATTTTGTCACAACTTAATTGTAAATTTATTCGAAAAAGGAAATTGCCCATGTAAACAAAAATTTCCTGAAATAAGAATAAAACGGCAAATCCTTGATCACTATCTCAACGGTATATGTATATTACATCATGTTTCGGTATATTCACAATTGAAATCTTATCACTACAATCACATCACCCTACACATCAAATACAAACAGATGATATAGATATAGAATTCTCAAAAGTTCTCACAGATTATATAAAAAATATACCACACCAAAATTCACAAAGAGCAAATTCAATATTCACAAATGATGCTTTTGCAATTTTTTATAGTTTCATATCTATAATAGAATTTTAAAAAAAAACACAAAATGAGTCACCGTCTCAAACATCCCAGCACTCAACTGTAAGACAAGAAATCTTTCTTTTCTCAAAGTTCTTAGATGCAATCCGTGAAAACCTTATTAGTAACGAAAATTCACAAAATGTCAAACATGATCTACAAAGAATACTAGCATGGTTCATAATTGATTATTTTGTCCATAACATCGTTCTCATAGCACAATCAAGAAAAAGTTTTCGACCACAAAGTTCAGACGATGAAACTGTACTAGCATATGAATCAGATTATGTTTGGGACCCTGATTGGTCTCATCCATCACTTATTAATATAACAACTGATGTATCAAGTACAGCAATCACTACTATCTCTGTTGATAAAGACAATGTTTGAATAACTCCACTTACTATTGATGCAACACCTTTAAATTATAATGCAATGTCTACTGATAGAACAGGAAATAATAGTTTAAACTCCACATTCAATAACACTCAAGAAAATTTAAATGGAACATAAAATCTTACATAACAAGATATTCAAACCCAATCACATATTTTGTTTTCTTAGAACTTAGTGGCTCTCCTTTCCTTCCCTGTTTGCTAGCTTGCAATGGTATTTTTGGGGTATCGCAAGTGATGCGAAGCTCCGCTTCGCCTCTGTGTCAGAAAATCAATGATCTATCACTCCATTTGTTACTGTTTTTTTTTCATCGAGTTTGTAATACCCGTCTAAATACTTAAGGCGCATGTTTTTGCTTCGAATAATTGATTTGTCTAAAAATGTACTATGTGCTATGACCACTCGCAACAACGAGATTTGGAACTTGTTAATGCAAACCTTAACAAAATAATTTAACCCGTGCTATGCGTTTGTAAGCTTTTTTGTCATATTAATTTAGCGTGAAGTGAATATGAGCTTCAAGAATATCGTTTTATGTATTTGCGTAAAAAGGGCTTTTGTGTGGCTATATATTGATGTAATACATTCATTTTTGTCATTTGTTTTTTGTTGCGATTTTTCCGATTAAAATTTCTCTAGATCATACAATATCTCGTTTCCTCGTTTCTAGTTACATGGGTACTGTTATGGACCCTTGTGGGGACGAACTGAATGCGACAGGGGGTCACTCTCTGCATCATCTGGACTTGGACCTCCTAGAAGTTGTCGATAGAGAAGAGGGTCTGAAAAACAGAGTGCCCAGAAGTATCCAACCCAAGAGGGAACCGCCCCCCAAAGGGAGGAAAGACAAGCTGAAAGAGAAACAGGTTACAGTAGACGTGAACTCGGCGGCAGCTGTGGAAAGTGCAAAACTAGCCAAAAACGCCAATGGTTGGTAAAAGAATGGCTCATGTCTTAACTCATTTGAAAAGAAATAGACTAGTTTCGACTTCTTAACTAACCGTTTTTAACAATTTTTTTTGCAATCTGAAAGATATTGATGTCCTGAGCTCAAAACGAAAAAGGTGGTTCTTCTGTGACCATTTTTCTTAAAGTTATGAGGATTGTGCTCACTTCATGGTAATTATGCGCGCTAATTACTAGTTTTTTATCAATGCGGGCAAATTAAAACAATCCAAATTGAATTGCGGCATTCTAATTATTCCAAATAATTTTTTACAAGATGCAAAATATTTCATTTTGTACATGACATTGCGTGTGTAGGGAATTTAACAACAAAATTGACACTATGGCCAGATACCTTAAAAGTACAGTCGTAATATTTGGGACTTAGTTCTGATACGAGCAATCATGTTGACTTTTTTCTATTTTAGATCAATTTAGAGTGAAGAGTCACTTTTCATATTGATTCATAGATAGAGAGATTAGCTAACAATTTATGGTTATACTTTGATGTGGCCATTGGTAGTTTTTTTCTTAACTAGCCTTAAGTCCCACAGGCCCAAAAATTACATTAGTTTTGGAAAATCGATTTTTTTTTGCAGAATTAACGCTGATTGGAACCTTCTTCGCTGCTTCCATAGCAACCCGTTACCAATGCTTAAAAAAACATCCGGTTGCTGTGCAAGCAGCAGTTTTTTCTCAACCAAAGCAGTATTTTGATTTGATTCAAATATAAATCTTTTTTTTTCAGGAGAAAAAACGGATACTATTAAAGTCGAAGTGCTTGAACAAACTGAAGAGATGCCACAGGGTGAGTTAGACGAGAAAAAGGGCGAGGTGTCAAATGAGGATGACAAGCAAAGTGTGGCGACTGGAGTGAGTGAGATTGAGAGTGAGACTAGTCCTTTTTTGTCAACGAGGGAACAGCTGCACGGAAGGAAACACCCTTTCTTCGTCGACAGGTGAGAGGAAGAATAATTAGACAGAGAAACCAAAAGTAGGAACAGTGATCGTTTCGGTCAAGTTATTGAAAAATAAAAGAAACATTGATAGAAAATTGAGAGATGTTTTCCAAAACTGTTTTTTTTTCAGGGATGGAAAGGTATGGTAACTTCAAGTTATCCCGATCGTTATTTCTGTTTTAAGTGAAAGTCTCCCACCGGGAACTCGTCTACCTCTCCGACGTAGTAGTTAAAGTCGTAATGCTACATTCTGCCTCTTGAATGTACGCACCTGGACAACGCCTTCATGACTAACTAGTTTTGGCATTGGGCTTGCTTTTGTTCCCGAATATCGTTGCTTCGCATGGCAGTAATTTGCTCGTTTTTGTTTCTCCCACCTACAAGTTTTTACTAGTGAAGTCCGATTGCTTATACTAGCGAGCTTAAGCTGCTTTTTGGTATATTACGGCGTTTTGTCCTTGACTAGTGCATGTGCTTTGACGTTCGATTATTAGTAATAAGTTAACACAGTTAGTGCCTTTTCATTAATCAAATGAACCGAAAAAAGCTATTATTTTCAAACAACAAATAAATAGTTAAACTCGATTTCAGAAATTTTCCAACTCAAACTATTTCGCAATTTTTTGAAATGAACAGTTTAAACATAAGTTGGCTTTAAGCTTTCCAGTTTGTTACATGCAAAATTGTGTCTATTTTCATTTGCTGCCACTTTTGCTGCATTGCATTGTTAATTTATTAGCACATGCAGCTGCTTTGTTTGTAAATTATCATGGTTTGTAGCGCATGGTCGTAGGATCCTTTCCGCCACAGCAAGAGTGTTTTTTTAAAGGCTTATTTTAACCTTTTTTTTATTCACTTTCTGGATCTACTTTTTGTGGTTTTTTTCGCTATTTCTTGAGAAGCGCAGCTTGGCTCTTGTGTATAAAAATTGACACGCGCAGTAATTAGGCCATGATAAAACTTTTTAGCCTTCTGATTGATTTTTGTAAACACACTCATTACAATATAAATTTGAGCACGTGCGAGCTGGGGAAAAGAAAAAGAGCCTATTGATTGATCACTGACTTCTGAATAGAGCACTGATAAGAGCAGAGCGGAAATCATAGCATTTCATCACCTGTGCTACTACCTTGGTTTGATGCGAAGTTTTGTCGACTCAGTTGTGGTGCTGAAATGGTCGGTTATGATCCGCTGCTCAGTTTCACATACTTTTGGCGATTTTTCAGGTGCTTGTTCCAACGAGTGGCATGTCTTTTTGCAGTCAGGTAAGGGGCAGTCAAAATGATTTTCTTGAACCCACCGTTGCAGATCTCTGCGGTTCTTTCAATTCCTTCATCATTTTTAATTCCTTTATAATTTTTATCACTATCGGAGGTCTGGACTCAAAGATCTGATTGGATGTCTCTGAGACGCCTGTTTATCTGTTTCTTGCTTTTAAACAGTTTTGTTTTCACAGTTTCTATTAGCACAATAAACTGTTTTCGGCCTTTTACCAATAGCTTTTGCTTTAAAATCTCGCTATCAGTGAATCTAAATTTGATGATCGGATACTGCAATTGGTTGTCTTGGTCTTGAGCCCATGGTTGTCAACGTCTGCCCTTAGCTGCTTCATCCAATCTTTTTGCCAAACCCTAGCTTCTTCAAGTATTTTAATCCAGCTATCGACCTGACGAAGTGTACTGTTGAACCGTACTCCTGCATAGTTGGTGTGCGGCTGGCATTGTTTTGACTTTCAGTCTCATGTTGGTTCTTTTTCTAGCCTAAAGCACAATTTAGCACGATTTAAACCTACTTTTAGTCTACCAGTATAAAAAAATGATAACAAGGGTCTTTATGCCGCTCAAGAGGACTGGCGTTAGGAAGGTCTCAATGAGGAGGCCATTATTCCTGAGAGTCAGTATTTTTAACACCAGAGTTGCTATAAGACGTAGCCTTGCTATTCTGGTCTTAGTAATGCGAGCGTTGGTAGTCTTGTCAGCGCTTCAATCAGATGATATGATGCTGCCGAAATATTCAAAGTGATTAACCTGTTCAACTTTTTCACTGAGTATATTGATAGGGACAAAATTATTGTCTTTGATGTTGATTTTAATAATTTTTTTTTCGTATCAAAAATTAATTTAGCCAATCCAAAGGTTTTTGCCATCTCATTGGGCGACTTGGTAGCGTTTGATTGATTGTCAGAGATACGCGCCAGATCACCAGCGTATGCTAAATTCCTTCTCTCTCCGTTGGTCTTTCTTACGAAGAAGGCAACCAGGAATTGAACAACAATCGGCTTAGCACGCAACCTTGCCTCACTCCTCGGTTCAGTACAAAGATGTTATCCTTAAGCATATCGATTGGCATGGCGTCTAGCGCTTCAATCACAATGAAGGTTTTACAAGTTTCCAAAATGAACAGCTGTTCTTATCAATCTAAACGAAAACCATTTTTCAGGTCGCTGAAAGTCATACAAAGAGGTTGATTGTTATCAATACTCCATAGACGCAAACATCTAATTGAAAAGATAGCTGCGCCTGTTGACCTGTGGCTTCGAAACTCAAATTGAAAGGGTGAGATTTTGGATAACTGTTTATATACCCTTTTTGCAGTCACCTCAGCGAGCACTTTCCTGTTTTGGCCCAATAGGAAACTGCTTTGATACTTGTTCGGTTCTGTTGTACTTGCGTTTTTGAACGTTTTGAGCTCTATCGCGTCCTTTCAAGCTTATAATTTTTTTCTGGTCTAAACCAAATATCAATGAAGATACCGGAGTTGATTTCTCTGAAGGTTTGTAGTACTTGTGCCCCTCTAGGAGGTCCAATATACGCAGTGCTAAGTGACCTTTCAAATCTTTCATTCGCCGCTCTGTTTGTGCACAGATTTTCTAGTGCTTTTGAAACTTGCAATCAACGACTTAACAATTGCAACTCCTCTTTAGCCAACTCAAGTGAACACTCGGAAGAGTCTTTTTCAACTCCTTGTATGCTTCGTGCGTTTGTCCGAGTTTGTGTTTGTCATGAATTTTTTCCAGCCCGCTCCTGAACTTCCTCAACTTGTTGCTCTTCTCCCTTTTGCTTCTGCTTTTTATAACCAACTTCTCCTTTTTGCAACCAACTTGTCAGTTCTCTTGTTTTAAACCTGGCTGTGTATATTTTTCCTTTTTGATAAAACCATACGTTTTTCTGTAGTTTTAAAGTACACAAAAACGTACCTTCTAATTTTTCCGGTTCTGCTTGGGGTAGCCTGATATGAACACTACACACTTATTTCTTAAGAGTGCTGTTAAAGCGAAAAAAGCTTGTAGAGAATCAAGTGTAGTATCATATAAAAGCTTGACTCATTGTGATTCGTGTTCCAAAATAACAGTTTCAAAAATTCTCCCATTTTTGACAAAATTTAGCCTGCATTTTTTCGTTTTTCAGATTAAGTCTTAACAAAATTACGAATGAAACTTAACAGTCAACTCCATTTGGGCGAGAATCTTGCATTAACCTAGTCATTATTACCTTTATTTTTTGTGGCTTTTGACTACCTAATTCAATTGCCCCTTGCTGAAAAAAGATCAGTGATCGTCGGAACATTATGTGCTACTTGCAGGTCTTGGCTCTTTTCTGCTCGCCCACCTTCAGCATTTTATCCCCCACAATTCGAAAACCCGCACAAATTTTCGAGTGTTTTAGTGCTTTTTTATACCCAGCTTGAGGAAACCTCTTCAGCCTTCTAGGTTGTAAATTTGTATTATTACGATTATTATTATGATTATCATGAGTATTATGATTATTATTATGATTAATATTTCTACTTTTATTATGATTGTTATGATTATTATGATTATTATTATGATTATGATTAATATTTATACTATGATTATTATGATTATTATTATTATTATGATTATGATTATTATTATTATAATTATTATTATTATTATTATTATTATTATTATTATTATTATTATTATTGTTATGATCATTATTATGATTATTTTTACACAAGCATAGCTTGTGTTATAGTATGAACTTTCTTTTTTTCCAACCTAAGTCGCAAATATTGTTGCGGAGCAATTGTAGCGACAAAATGTGTTCATTTTGATTCAGCTATTAAGCACAATCAATGCTAAGGATATACTAGGGAAGAAGACCCGCAACAGAATAAGAGGGTTCGAACCTGGGCAGGGTCGGATGTTTTTAGTGAACTTTTTCGTATACTTTGAAATGCGTCCGCTCTAAAAATTGAGGCATGTTAGATGGTAAATTTCTTTTCAAATTGAGTGGTACTGCTAATTATGTAGAGTCATAATTGGCGTGCGTCACCTGAGAAATTTTGTAGACTCAGAGTTACACTCGTTCAGTTTTTCCCAGTAGCGTTTTCGGTCATATTTTTGCTTGTGTATGCGAAATGGAACTTAGCCTCTGTTATTATTATAATTTTTTTTATTATGATTATTATGATTATTATTTTTGCTATAATTATTATGATTATTTTTTTCTATACGTATAGTTGTTATATGTGCTATTATGGCTAAAAAGCGTTATCAAACATATTTAGTCTTCATATTTAAGATTGTAAAAACCGTCGTTACACCATACGGCTCGTCTCCAGTTTCCCACCCCATGAAAAAATACAAAGAAATTGTTGAAAAGTAAAATTGTTCAGATGAGAATTTGCATGTAAAAAATATTGTAGCAACTTGTTCACTTTTTCACACTGACACTTTTCCTTACAGTTTGGAAAATCAAAAGCAATTTTAAATTGACTTTCGTAAAGTGAGTTTCCGGAAAATTCGAAGGGGGACTAGAAAAGAGCCCACCAGACAATTGACGCCATAAAATTGTGGGGAAAGGATAAAGAGCTGCTACCTTTTCCAGTTTCCCACCTTCTTGTAAAATTACAAAACAAAACTGTTAGAAAATTGTTCACATGGCATTTTGCATGTTAGAAATGTTTTAGAAATTTGTTCACTTTTTATAACATGAAAAGTCATTTTAAATAGGCTTTCATATATTGAATTTCAGACAAAATCAAGGTGCGACTGGAAACGAGCCGAAACCGGATATCGTTGTTACTTAAAAGGGCTTTTGTTTTAGCTTTGAGGCTGGCAACTATGCCCGCTTCTTCAACCACTCCTGCAGCCCCACCATGTTTGCACAGAACATCTTCACCACCTCACATGACCCACAAATTCACCAGATTGCTTTCTTTGCCTTTGATGTTAGTTTCTTTTTAGCGAAGACGAAACATCTGAATATGGGACAAATTAAACAACGTGTTATGCATGGTCGCACTGCATAATCTGAGTGCCTTTTTCCACTCCCACTACCACCTTCAATTTCAATTTTGAAAAACTACTCTAACGTTGTCATAATGCAATGGATCTTGAAATGGTGAACAAATTAACAATTGTGAACAGATTTGTTCTTCTTACTTTACATCGTAAAATGACGCGTTAAGCCATTATAACACGTAAAACAACTATAAAAACAACTTTTGAAACGTGTGCTCGGCGGAAGGCGGGTTTGAAAAGAGCCAATCTGAGAACTGCAATTCTTGTCATATGGTAATGGTTTAAAAAAAAACGTTTTCTATAGGATCTGAAAGCAGGAACTGAGTTGACATACGACTACTGTGTCAAGAGCGATCCAGACACTCCAGTTCAGCAGGAATGCCACTGTGGATCCGAGAACTGCCAAGGACGACTTCTTTGAAAACATTTAACAATTTACGAAGTGACCAAATTTGTCTAAACTGAACTATTTTTCTTGAAAAATTGGTGTGGGACGTCTCCTATCCGAGAGTTTTTGAATACCGTAGTGGGAAAATAAAGCTTAAAATTGCGATCCCAGCTAGATTGAATATGTTGTCTAGCTAACCAATCGTATGCCAGTTTTCGCTATTCGGGAATGCACATTAGAGAAAAAGAAAGTTGCACCTGAACTTGAAGTAAACCAGTTTTTTAAACTGGCAGCCGAGAAGAGACTGAAATTTTATATAAGACAGAAGTGAAGTAGAAAATTGAGCTGAGTTTGAGTTGAATGTTTTAATGTCGAAACGAGTGTGAATAAATTATCCGAAGTAAAAACCAACCGAAAATGCGCGGAATATATAAGCCAAACCGAAAAGTTATATCATATGAATGAAATTTGCTTAACTTTCGTAGCTGTTACATAATTGTTACATAACTATTATATTACACTAATGTATTTTCGGCTGACTGATAATTAGGCTGGTTTATGCTCGGTTTGTTTATATATCACCGTAAAAACACGATGCTATCATTATCATTATGCTAAACAACTAATCAGCAAGATGTCATTTATAGTTGAGTGATGTTTTTTTTAAATTAAAATAACATGAAGTTTCAAAGGTTAAATTTATCAAAATGTAAGGGTTAAATGTATTTAGGAAACAGTTTGTTTTTTTTTGGTAATGTTAATTAGATTTATTACGAATGATAATGCAAAATTCAGGATTAAATCAAAATTCAGTTTAATATTTTTGCACGTGCGGTATCTAGGGGCTTTCAACATGCAACAGCAGCGTGCCAACTTAAGGGGGGGGGGGTCTTGGTGGTTTGAAATTCTGTTTGCCGAAATTCTGTTTTAGTTGATTTTAGTCCCAGTCATTCAATATTTTTTATCGCAAGTGGTGCGAAACTGGATTTCGCCTCTGTGCATACATTACACCTACCGCATTTACTTTACGCATTTAAATTTAGCTTGTTCACCTGTTAAGCAGTACCATGTAATGCTGCGTTTAATAATAACTACCATGTAATGCTGTGTATTGTCCATAAGTGCCAATGAACGCATTTAAGAAACTTATTAGGTATTTTTTTGAACAAAGTGTGAGGAAAGTCTTAAAGCTTGTTTAATCATGAATTTTTTCGCCATTTGACTTTTGATTTCATTTCTTAATTCACTTCATTTCCTTTGATAAAAGGAAGGCAAAATCCGCGATCCAACAGCACAGTGTAAAGATCACAAAAGACTTGATCGACTTAACTTTGCGCAAATGGTTTCTAATTATCAGATTTCCCAGCGAAATATAAAAAAAAATTAATGATCCAGTTTTCTGAAATTTGGTTTATTTTATCAAAAGAGTGTCAATCATAAATTGTACTAGAATTTTATTATATCGATTTAGTGGCCTACTTTTTCAATTTTTGGGGACAGAAAAAAGTTGGTCAGTGTTTTGAGGACAAAGAAGACTTGAAATATTTTTATTAGTTTTTTCTTACGTCTTGAAGGTTTTCTGCTTAGGTATTTTCGGCTTTGATACCGCTTGGTTATTGTAAATTCAAATTTAATTAATCATTTGGCGAATCTGGCGTAGAGCTAAGACAACTGCTCGAGACGACTTGATTTTTTAATAACTAGAGTCTTCATGTTTTTTTTTTACTGTCGTGCGTGTGTTGATTTTTGACGGTTAAGGCAGCCCGACCTTTTTGAGGTTCAGATTTTTTCCAAGTTGCTGTAAAATTCATGCTCAAGACCGTAAAACGAGGAAGTTCGATTCCAGGCAAGAACTGTTTTTTTGCTAACTAAAGTTTTCGTTCGGCCATTTCCGATTTTCGCGTCTGCGTATTTTTGCCGGCTTAAATCCTGCAGAACAACTTTGTTGGAAGTTCGGCTTTTTTTCTAGCTTTTCGAAAGCTCCATGTAAAATTTTTTATAGCGCCCAACGGTGCACGTAATTTATTTTGTAATCATTTTATGACAAAACAATTTTTGAAGTGATTTTTTTTTTTGATTTTTCTTTTCATTTGATTTTCATCACAGTCATTCTTTTTTTAAATTTTAATCGATGCTTTTGGTCCGAATGGTGTCGTTTCAAAGAAAGCAGAAATAATTGCACTGAAGTTTTCACGCACCCAAAGTTTTCGCGCCCTCTAATTTGCATTCGCGCCCATTCGCTCAGAAAAAAATAACAAAAGCTTGTTAACATTTTCACTTTTTGAGAAGTATAATTTCCAATTCGTAGAGATTGAAAGGGGCTTTTCAATGGTTGTTAGTTACGCTTGCTATTCACAAGCGCTATCAAACCGGAACTGAGACGTCTTTCCTGTAGTATTTTTTTTACTTCACTGAAGCATTTGATAGCTCAATTTTTGTCAAATCAAAATCAGTGATCGGGGTCGAAACGCAGTGATCACGGGATAAAAATGAAGTTATTTTAAATGACAAAAGTCACGTATTCGAATCTAGCCTGAACCTGCAACTTTGCGAATTAGAATTTTTCTGTCTAAGATTATTGCCGGTATATCGTTGGCTGTTTTTTCTTTGTTGACTTAGTAGTCTCTGTGCGGACCTTTTTAAGGTTGTTTCATATCTTCCTGTTATGATAGCTGTAATTGAAGTCAAATAAAATCTCATCTTAGAACTTTTTTTTCATGGCCACACGAAAGCTATTAATTGTCAGGAGCCACAAAAAAGCAAATGTGTAGGAGAACTTCACATCTTGGTTTATATGAATGATGATTGTATCTGGTTATAAAAAATCCTTTTTCTTTATTCATATATGATTCCTTAGCTGGGATAATTTTTCAAAACATTTTTGATGAACTGTACATTTTCAGTAGTACGTTCTTTCCAAATTGTTTTCTTTCATACTGTCTAAGTTTGGCAGAGGTATACACATGGCGGATTTATAGAAGTTTCAGATATCAATCATTGTTCTAAAAACTTTTTCAAAATTACAAATTACGCTCGCTGTCTCAAAAATTTATCTGCAGAGTAGAACATTTGAACTAAGTTGTATTTTATAAATATTTTTTTCTCAAACCATTCCGTCGCCTGCAGTTTGAGTGTGGGCGAAAGAATTTTCATGATTTCGGCTGCAATAGTGGTACCACGTTTAAGTTCTAGACTCAAAAAGCGGCCTGAACTCGCAAAAAAGAGCTTCGCTCAACAAAATAACTCTGTCTGGAATGTGGGGAATTAAGAGAAACAAACTATATTTAGACAGGCTGGATGGCCTTTCATAAATCCCCTGCGAATCGCAGAAACCACAATTTTTCATTTTAAAGCGTAATAGGAGTAAATTGTTTGTGGTTAGACTTGAAATGATTTGTGCAAGCAAGTAAAATTTGTGGTTAGACTTGAAATGATTCGTTGAATCAAGTAAAATAGTGGCACTGCTTTGATTTTGTATTAAAAAAAGTTTTCATTTTCAACTTATTTGCATGCACGTTCACAGGCGACGCTCTCTACCCCGTTTTTATGGCGGCTTCTTTTTATTTTTTGTAAAGTTGAGTTTCAAAAAAGCATTGGCAAATTGCATGAGCGCAGAAGCAATCTGATTGAATGTTATTGGTTGCGGCCTGATATTCACGAACAGCAGCGGATTAGTGGAGGGGGGGGGGGCGGACGCCCCCTTTTTCCGAGATTTGACCCCCCTACCGACCCATTTGTACTATTTGAGACATCCATTTGTACTATTCAAAATAGTACAAAAGGTTCCCCCTCTGTACTATTTTGAGGTATCCATTTTTGGCTGACTGACCTTAAAATTTTTATAAAGGCGCATACGCAATTTTTTAATCGAAATCTTGTGTGAATTTTGTGAAAACATTTTGTGTAGGAGAACTTTTTGTGAAAAAAATTTTTGTGAAAAAGTGGAAAAAACTTAAACAAAAATTCAAAATTTTGTGAGTTCATTCCCCATTTGTCAAATTTTTTTCCCAGGCTTTTCATTTTTCGATGATGAGTTTCTCTCGTCTCTTTTTTCAGAGCTTTTTTTATCGAGTATGCTGATTGTGTTTGCGTCTTGTGTAGAACAAACTTTAAAGTAGATCAAGATGTGTTTAAAAATTGTGTTTGAAAGTAGATCAAGATGTGTTTAGATGTGTCTACCACTGCCTGAGTTATTTTAGCTGCAATAGTGGTACCACTTGAAACTTCAAGACAAAAAAAACAACCTTGAGTTGCAAAAATTGAGAGTTAGAATAAACTAACTTGGTATGGAATGTGGGAAAATAGTAGAAACGGACTATTCTTTGGCAGGCTGTAAAGCCTTTGAAGAATCCTCTGCGAATCACAGAAACCACAACTATTAATATAACATGCTTTATCAGTTATATTATCAGTTAGTGGTAACTAAGCGTATATTATGAAAAACATTTCAAACTGTTTCATAAACATTAAGATTTGAATAACAACACAAATTTGCAAAATACCAAGAAGCTAGCAAAAACGATTTTGCTAAAAAATCTTTTCCCTGCTTGGTTTTGCTATTCGATATCAAAAGAGCGTGTGACAAAAACCAAGTGTGGAAATCGTAATGTTAGTTGGTTCATATCCAGGTCGACGATTATGGACGATAATCCGACAATTTTAGATAGGAACAAGAGTAGCAGGTTGATGTGTAATTTGCTCGCAAGTCGCTCAATTTGTGTCGTTTTTGGCACTTTTTGCTAAAATGAGATGAAATATGTTTTAGCAACTCTAAAAGATTACGATTTATTAATGCTCTAGTCGTTCATTTCTAGGCCAAAACTCGTTACGAATTGAACTACTTGGCAGCAACTGACTACTGACTACCTTTTTTCGGCTACCCTGAAATACTTCATTTCAAACGCGATTTTCCAAGGAGAATTTTAGTCACCAAAATATGCCTCATAATGGACAGAGTGCGATCGTATATCAAAGCCAGTTCAGCTGGATACTAGTTGCCTATAAACTCTCACAATTTACAGGCAAAAAAAATTTCAAGGAAGCGCTGAATAAATATACAATATGTTGTTTTCTCTTTTTATAAATAAAATTTTCATATTTTTATCACTTCGGTTTCTGAAAAAAAAATATTATTAAAATTAATTTCAGCTATTTTGGCTGACTTCGTTGTCTCAAAACTTAATATTTGAACGCAACGCCTAATCGTTTTTAAATTTACTGTTTGAAAACATTTGTATAAAAGACAATGGGTAACTAAAGTTGTCGTGTCAAAGTTTAGAAGAAAAATTAGATATTCAAGAAATTTTTGGTAATTTTTTGTAATTCGAGGCCAATGGTCCCGAGAAGTTTTTTTGACAATAGAAAAGGTATCTAATGTCTAGAATGGAATCAGTAGGTCTA